TTTAAATTTCATGCTTAGTAATAGTTGATCTATATTTGAATTTTTTCTGTTTAAAAAGAACATATGTAAAATTGAATGAAAGATAAAAGAAATATTTTTTTTAGAAAATATATATACTCCACTTAAATTCGTCGATTTTTAGTCTTATTCTATCATATAAATTAACATGGTATGGAAGGTTAAAGAAATATTACTTTAATAAAAAAACCATATTATATTTTGTTTGAATTTTAAATTTTCAATGTTAATTGCACAAAAAATAGACTTAACTAAAATTTAGAGTTACTTCAAAAGTTGATTTAAAAATAAAATTTTTAGTATGATGAAGTATTGATAAATGTTGGATTTTAAAAAAAAATACAAAAAAAAAAAATTATAACTAGGTAGTCATTCAAAAAATATTTAAAAAATAATAAAAAATCTCTGAATATCTAAACCGAACCAAACCGAACTGAACCGTCCCGATAGTCCCGAATACCGAACGGAACCGAAAAATAATTTTTTTTAATTGAACCGAACCAAATTTTTGGTACGGTTCCGGATATTGAATTTTAGTGATATTCGAATTTTTGTATCAATCTCTGAATCGTACCGATCCATGCGATGCATCTATAACATATATATGGTCATTATTTAATTATTTAGTGTTTTTTATTAGGGATTCATTTTTTTATATATTTTTGTTGGAATTATAATATGTTATTTAAATCTTTTTATGTTACGGCATCATTATGTTATTCTTGAAACAAAATACATTAGAAGTTTATTTGTTCAACATTTTATTTTGTTCCTACAGTCATATGTTTAATAAATTAATTTATTTATCTTACTAAACGTAACCGCCAAAAATATTTGTCACCACGTGCATGGCACGTGCACTTTGCTAGTACAAGGAAAATATGTCTAACTTATAAGCCTAGTGGGTTACTCCTCCTTTCACCAATTAGTTTTGGGATAAAACAGCACTTGAACTTCACATGGGATTTCTTTGCTATGGTAGACCGCACACGTATTCCCCGTTTCTTACATTCCTCGATGATGTTAATTTATGAGTCACACATATTCAATTAAACGAAGTGTTGTGAGCCTTCTAAGATTGTACAATAATGTCACAACTCATAATGTCAGTGCAATTTAAAAATAAAAAAATAAAAAGCATGGTTTTGGTCTTTGAAAACAACAAAATAATTTTGCTGTACAAAGGGGATGGTTTCCAAAGGTCTGGCCAATTGGTTTATTTTGGAAAACGAAATGCACATGTAACTTCTTATGTACAAGTTCATAGCCACAACATAACATGTAGTACAACTAATGTTACAACAGGAATTAAGCAATGACTCCTGAATATCAGGACAAAAGTTTCAATTTTTCCCCAAACAAAAAAAAAAATAAAAATAAAAGGTTCAAAGCAAATGCCGCTTCGCGGGCAAATGAAACTGCAGCTCATTGTTACATCACAAACTTGATCCAAGTAATCTCATTCAAGGGATTGACTGTAAGTCCTTTTCTTTGAACTGCTGGCTGATTGCCTGTTCAGAAATAATTTATAATAATCAAATCACTAAGTCTTGTCCAGTTATTACATATGTACCCCAAATAGAATCCCACTAAATACTTACGAATCTTCAGAACGTTCTTTACTCGATGACGACTTCTGTAAGCTTGTGGATCGCCCGGCAGCCTGTGAAATGAGCACCAAGTCTCAACTAGCTTAGGCTTATATTTAACATGACTTTCTTGAACAAAGTTTTATACGAGTTATGAATGAGATGTGTATGTGATCACACACTCACACACGAAAGTTGATACCCGTACCCCTTGCACAGGTGTTAACACTAAGAGAACCCGAACTAGTAATAACTACAATTCACGGGCTAATCATCTCTCCAACACAAATATTGACTGTGAAAACAAGATACACATTTTCAAATGATGTAATCAATTGGCTACACAATCTTTTTTGTATCTGAATTAGTATTAAGAACTTCAAATGATGGAAAAAATCATCTCTTGCGTTGCCAAATTCAACCTGGCAAAATATGTATGTCTTCTTTGGCACCGACCACATAAAGTAAAAATGTACATAAAAAATACAGGAGTAAGCTATAACTATACTGACTGATTGGCGTAATCTTCTGCTCCGACAAGTATGAGCCTCAAGGTATTCTTCATAAGTCTGCATCACAAATTGAAAATGACAGCCCTCAGTAAAACAAAATTTCACCCAAAACTGAGAACCCCTATTCTTCTTACTCGAGATTAATAACAGAGATAAATAAAATTCACACAGAAATCAAACGAAAGATGTAAACCACACAAAATATGAATATGCAGCAAAAGTTTCAAGAACTGGATTATTGTCAAAACTATAAAACACCCTGAGATATCATAATAAAAGCACCTTCACCTAAACAGCCTTTATACTGCCATCAAAGCATTACTACATTAATATTCGATTTAGAGCTACCTTAGGAATCATAACAATTAATCTTCTCCAGATCAAAAGCTCTTCTTGGATCTCACTTAGATCAACTCATTCATATCTTTCTATGGTAGTAAGCATGGATATTAGGATTTGAACTCTTGCTCTGGGCAGTATGAAGACATTCAGAACTAACAACTCGCATAATTTCCAGCTTTTATGGTTCAAAAATCATTCTAGCTGAAGTGAAAGAGTTTTACATTGACAATACATACAGTTAGTACAGAACATTGATTTAAGTTCAACAAGAGAGAGAGAGAGAGAGAGAGAGAGAGAGAGAGAGAGACCATTTTTTTGTTGAAGCAAAAGATCACAAGAAGCAGAACAAGTAACAACCCATCCGAAGGAAAAGAACCCAATAACCTTCAAATCAGAAGAAAAATATGCAGACACTAATTGATACAGTTCATTATTTATCTCCCAAACTTCACCAAGTTCCATACTAAGTGAAACAACTAAAAGATACAGTATACAGTCACTTTAAAGTTTAAGATGAGGCACCAATACCATTCCCAGTATATCATCTTCTGTCAAAGTACTAAAAAAGGGGGTCCTCTCTGCTGGCAAGCCCCAATTGTTAATTTGGTTATCAGTCCTATTAGCTGAGCTTCCATTTACTCGGAAACTCCTTGATTGTTTTACTTTTGACGCCTCAGGGACACTTGAAGAGTTATTAAGAATCAACCCAGGTGTCTGGTGTGGCAACTGAAACCCAGTGATTTCAGCTTGATGTTGATATAAAAAAGACGGGTAAAGCAAAGGTGCCATATGCATTGGTGGCCCATTAAAATCCTCAACTTCACAAGAAGTTCGTACAGAAAAATCACCGCCAGGAACTTCATCCCTTCATCAAATAATTTATATCATAAGTAAAAGGAAAAAGAAAGAAAACAACCAATGGCAGTTATTAATTATATAATATATACTAATGATTGATTGAGAACTGTACCTTCTCAGGATACCATCTGCACCATAACCTTCATCAAGAAGCTGACAAAGAGCTTCACCAATATCCCCAGGCAACTCCTGTGAAAAGAATAAAATAATAATGTAATCTAGTCATCCCTCATCCCATCATGTACTGATAACCTCACTGTAAGAAAGGTCCTCAAAGCTGGGATGATTAGTACCTGACAGTCTCTGCTGATTTTGACAGGTTTGAAGTCATTCCATGGATTTTTCAAATGGAGAGTCTGCTGGAAAGGCAAGTCATATAGACGTAGCCACTTGACTTTGAAACTACGGCCCCATGGATTATTTTTCCCACTTCCTTGATTCCAAATGCTATCCCTCCTCCAACCAACGGAAGACGTCATTTGAGCATATCCTTGGAAGAAACCACTCATGTTGACGCTAAATATAAGAATTACTTTGCCAGAATTCTGCATAATCACTTAAATTGAATTATTTATGTGCTTAATTTCTTGCTAACGATTTGGTGAAACTCATTCTAGCGCTCTAGTAACGCAGAGAGTCATCTCTTCAGGGCTATCTATAGTACATTGATGTCCAGAAAAAAAAAAATGTGCTAAAAATCATATTACATGAAAAGACAAAAAAAAAAGAAATGTTACTTGAAAGGCCTCTTCAAGAATGGGCTCATTCATTACTTGAGTTGCCCAAATTCCATTCTTTATTGACAATTGTATATTTTGATGATTCAAGCTCTTGATAATAAAATATCTTGTTTTATTCAATTTATCTTTCTTCATTTCACTTGGCGATCCCACCCGGTCACGAGAAAGCCCTAGCTCTTCTGGCCCCGAGCGACATGTTCCCTCATTTGACGTACCCCTTGGAGAAACTACATGTACTGCAAAATGTCATAAAAAAAAGTCCGTAGGGTAACTCCGGCATTACGCAATTGAAACTAAAATGACATGCCAACCACAATGAAGTCATGCACCATCAAATTAATTTGAGAATCATTTCATTTCATACGACTACTAACGTTCATAATCCGATAGAAGCTGCTATCTTTGCCATTCATACAGAAGAAAAAAATGTAAGATGGGAACTGCTCTGCATATGTAAGATGGGAACTGCTCTGCATTGCACTACCCCAAAAAAAAAAAAAGGAAACTTCCAATCTGGAAACCATGCATCACGAAAAAAGTGCTCAATATTACCAAGCAAAAATCTCAAAAAAAATATTTCAAATCCCGCTTCTCACTCTGACATGCAAAGGTGCATGATATGCATAGATATCGAGAATTTAATGATAGTCCAGACATGTTTATGGATCTAATGCAAGAACCCTGATATTCATGTAGTAGAAATGGTTAATAATAATAACACCAGCAGAGCAGTTAAAATTGCCCGCTGCATACAAGTTACATTTTTTTCCTAAACTCGTGATTCCTACAACACTGGGTGAGAGTGAAAAAATAAAAGACCCTGTGACTGGAACAGTTTAAGAGAATTAAATACTGCCTGAAATGCAGGTCAGAGCCTGTTAGACCAATAACCAGCCCCCTTCCTAACCCACTCCTTTTCCATAAATCATTTACCACAGAAAAGGTCCTCTGAAAGTAAAAAACAATCCATTGTTATGAATCATGCAAGTTAAGAATGTCCAATAAACAATCAGTGCTGTACAGAAATCATGCAAGTACAAATAATAGACTAATTACTATCATTTCATCAGAAGGAAAGTACAATTCAACACACAAATTAAATCAACCATCTACAACTCTCACCAGAATCATGCAAGCTTGTCATGTCCTTTTTGCATTCATTCATGGATGAATCAACTGCCGAAGCAAATCTTTTTGCAGCATCAGAAGACATGCCTTGACCTCCTATTCTACAGAAGGAGAATAAAGGCAAAAGCCATAGTGAGACCTAAAACTATGAAAAATTCAAATTATGACTACAACCACGCAAGTAAACAAACAAGCACGCAAGTATCAGAAACAATTTTCTTGCAGAAAATTATAACTAAGGAACAAAATAGAGAGAGCTTGGAAAATTCTTTGCCATGCTTGGTCGTAGTAACAGCAGAAAGCATCTCTAGTCACTGCATAAATGTTGTACACTAAAGATCAAACTGGTATAAGTTCCACTAGTGTCAAGCATCAGTGGGGTCCAAAAATGATAGCAAAACACTGTATTAACTACTAATCACCACAACAAATGTCAAAATTATGGTTGGAAGTATAAGAAACGACAAGACTGAAGACCCCAATTTAATAGAGCATTTTAATACATTTATTTCAATGCAAGATGTTTGACACCATCCCTTCTCTATTCAAAGGAACTCATCTGGTGTTAGATATGATTATGACTCAACAATGATCATAAGCATCCTAAGATGTTACATATACATTGTTTTAATCTCTTCTTTTACCTTTATATAGTGCAGCAAACTAAATGACCCAATTCATCCATCTAACCAATATTTTAGCAAAGGATCATAAAAGAATCACCTGGATCTTCCCCTTCCAAACATTAGCTTACAATAAATTTCTTACTTTTTTTACTCACCTCATTTCTGAAGATCACACCTTTTCTTTTTTTAACTGAATTTCCGTACTCATCCATATGGAAGTGCACATAACTCCTTTTTAGAGATTATAGAAAATCCATTTGATGCATAGAAATTATTGTCATATATCACAAATTCTGTATGCCTATTTAATAAATTGATAATTCATAACAAGAACAAATAAATATAATTAAATATACAACTCAACATAGAAATATTTAGTAGATTTTGCATAAACATAAATTAATTAAACTCAAGCAATCATGCGAGGGAGAGAGAGTCGCACTCCACTGGAAAGATGAACCAGAAAATAAAATGCGTAACAAGAACAAATAAATTAATATAATTAAAACACATATACAACTCAACATAGAAATACTTAGTCGATTTTGCATAAACATAAATTAAACTCAAGGCAATCATGCGAGGGAGAGAGTCGCACTCCATTGGAAAGATGAACAAGAAAATAGAAGGCGAATAACCCCTTCCACACAGAATGAGCGGAACGGAGAGAAACATGCGGAGGCACTTATGAGCAGCGCGTTCTAATAAGATCTGCCCTAGATATTTATCATTCAACTCAAAGCCCTATTAATTTTCTTTTTCTTTATTTTATATTAAAAATTTACAGAATGTAACTCTGTAATTGAATTATTAAGTTAAAATAACAAAATAAATGCATATGCTCCACCTAGAATCTAATCATGGAATGTTCTCATTAACACAACTAGGGTTGTTATCGAACCGAGCTGTTCGCGAACAAAGCTCGTTCGTGTTCGTTCGTGTTCAATAACGGCTCGTTCGTTTAGCAATCGAACCGAACTCGAACATGAAATTATGTTCGTTTAGTTATCGAACGAACACAAACAAGTTCGCGAACGCTCGATTAGTTCGCGAACAAAAAAAAATATTTTGTAGTTTTATATATTATTATATATAGTATATACATGTATAATCTAATATATAAATATGGATATATATTAAATATAAATAAAAAAAATATTTATAATTTTTTATATTGTATATAGTATATGCAAGACCCACCCGTCGAGCAGGGACGAAAGTCGGCCTTAGTGATCCGACGGTGCCATATATAATACACTATATAAATATATGAATATATATTAAATATTAAATAATAACTTGTGTGACATTAAAACAAAAAAAAAAAGTTAAAGAACACGAACACGAACATGTCGAACAATTCAAACACGAACTTATCGAACAGTTCACGAACAAGTTCGACTAGATAAACGAACTAACACGAACGTGTCGAACCAAATAAATGAACGAACACAAACGAAATTTTTTGTTGGTTTACTAAACGAACGAACACGAACATGTTCGAAAATTAGTCAAACTCGAGCTCGAACACCTTAAGCTCGGTTCGGTTCAGTTCGATAACAACCCTAAGCACAACCACTTGTAACATGTAGGATGCAATTAATATTGTACAGGCATAAATGAAAAAAAAAAAAAAAAAAGTCTGAACACTGAAGAAGCACAACAATGAGTATCATACGTCAACAAAAATTATATTAGTTTCAACAGATATTTACTTCACAAAAACCTTAATATATCTGGTGAATGCCTACAGATTCTCTGTTATGTAACTCTACCTTCTAACAATATTCTTATAGTATATGCTAATGGAGAAGTGCATATTATAATCACATTCCAACACACAGAGTAAAGATACTTAGTTTATGTAGTCTCAAACAATCATAACTAACACGTCAATTAAATTCTACATAATTCAAAAGTTTCATGTTTCAAAAATAAAATAAATAATAAACATCAAATATTCTTGAAAAAAAAAAAGAAAATATTAACTTAAATCGCAATGAAAACATATTTGTAACTGAGGTAAATTATTGTCAAGTACATATAAATATAAGTTTTTAAAAATTATTTGAATTCAGGAAGAGCGAATGCCAATAAAATTTCCATCATTGGGCTTGGGTTGGTATTGGGTTGGGCCAACTGACTAAATGTACACATAATGGGTTGAGGTCCAGGAAAAATCCTACTAGTTCAGTTAAACATGTCAATAACCTAAGGGAATTCAGGAAATCCGTAGGTTTGGGCAAATCAATAAGTTCATAGGAATCAAATGTATATTGCAATTTTGTTACAAGAGATAGAATTTGTATACGAAAAAGAATGCAACAACTTTAAAGGCTAACATTTTAATCAGCATACTAACTATAAAAGCTAATTGCTAATAAACTTGAATATATTAGCGACTTCAATTGTATAAACAAGTATACTTAACCATGAGAAAACCACTCCAAGTCAAAGAAGATCCTGTTGATTTAATTACATATCAATAACAAGCCATATGCTTCTTTTCAATGAATCAAAATGTATTACTTCAAATTAAATATATTTACATTGCATTACATCATAAAAGTTCATTATCAATAAGTTAATGACTAATCATCATTAAAATCACCAAATATTATTTATCAACAGCGAAATAATGATTTAGTTTAGAAATTGGCAAATAATCACCCTTTCGCTATAAGACTATTCTTGCTAATTTTGGTTTTGACGAGATCCAACAACAACACATCATATAAAATTGATTATTATAACTACACTCTATATTGCACAGATCAACATAATCAACTTTATCATTGCTATATTATCAGAAACGACCGAAAATCTTCAACATCCTACATATTTTTTCCTGGAAAAAAGAAAACTTTCCTGAAAATTCATTGTTAAGACTTCCCAAAGTGTATCGAAAAAGATGTCAGTGTATTATTGGAACTTCTCACCCACTTCCTTCCTTTGTAGAGTAAAACACCACTACCTTGCATCTCCTCTGTCAGTTAGAGTCTTATTATGAACTTCAAAATATTGATTGAACATGGTTTAATTATATAAAATTTACGAGGTCAAACCAAGGACATATGAAAGTCTGGAATCATCCTTCGTGGGTTAGATTTTAATGTGTTTCCACGTTCAAGTTCTATTTAAGACCACTGCATATGTACAATTTGAAGAATAGACTTATCTAAGTGCTGAGTGGATGAGTACCTATAACTCATCAAATGTGGCTTATACAAGATCGGTCAGCAAAATAATGAAGTTATTAAATAATGTACTCATTTAATACAATTGCAATAAATGGATACCTATTGGATAATTCTTAAATAATTCAAGTTTATTTGTTGATTAAGAAATGGACAGGATATCTTAAGTTGGTTCTCCAAAAAGTCCATTTTAGATAGGTAAGAAAGAGAGACTTTTATGGGAAAGTCTGTTGTACAGAAATTTTCCTAAATGGCTTTTTGCAAAAGAGCTCCAAATAAAGCACTTAAGACGCTCATTGAATGCAGAGCACAAATCTAATTAATATGGCACTAAGAAATCAAATTATGAATGTTATACATTCATCAGTATATAAGAACAATTCAAGAAATCCAGCTTCCATAACCATAGGGATGATACTACATAATAGTTATTAATTTTTACCAAAATTGCTATCACCATACCATTCAACGAAAGAAATAATTAATATTTATCCAAAACTGAACCTATGACTTTGTGCACTGAAGGCTTAGACAAGCCTCTTAAACGAGAGGATCTTAAAATCAATGCTGTAAGCTAATAACACAGTTGGCATTAACAATTCAATCTAACCAGACAACAAAATTACAATCAGCTATAACTAACTATACTCCAAAAATCGTAGTAAAAATGTACAATACTGAAACTAGTCAACAAAACTAAAACAGCAAAATAAGTTGAAGCATGCAAACAACAAGATCTCGATTTAAGGAATCTACTAAACTTTTTACTTAACTCTTCATGAGATTCATCCCTTTTATTTTTCTACTGCTGGGAATGATGCACTTCAGGCTCAACAATGATTTCATGCCAGTTACAGTAATAACTTCTAAGGGCAAATCTTGCACCAAGACACTAAGTAGAGACCATAACATGACTAAAACATCCTGCTAGTCGGCTTCGACATACAAACATTAGAAAGTATTTTAAAAGTTCTGCACTTGTACCCATTGAATTCTCTACTCCAAAGAAGTCCCAGATGTTAGCACGAAGGCATTCCAGGAAGCAATAAAACGAGGTGATCTGATAAATGTTCTTAATATATATATATATATATATATATATATATATTCCTTGTTGAGCTCATTTTGCCAATTCTCCGGCACAAACGTGTAACAAATTTTCCTTTTTCCTATAGAATCTTAAGAAGTTACTCCAAAAGTGCTTATACTTTCCTCAATCCGGGATTTTTTTTCTTGTTTTTTTTTTCAAAAAGGTGATATTT